ATTATTTTCGTTGCTACTTCATCACTGTAATTTTGCTACTGTTATGAATTGGACAACCCCTGTGAAAGGGTCATTCGACCCCCAAAGGGATCGCGACCGACAGGTTGAGAACCACTGCTATAGACCAATGACTATATCCTTTACATTTTCTGATCGTGGCTCATAGTACCCTGTTCACTTCCCTAACAAACCCCCTGTAAAGTTGAGTCTTGTATGAGAGTCATACAAATTATCAAATCCCCCCAAAAGCAGAGTGCTATGGGAGGAATGGTTGGTGTTAGATAAGGAGGATGGAGGGCAGAGGCATGCCTGACTTCTGCCTCACGGCAAAAGGAAAGACAGAAGAGATCAGAATGAACCCCTCCTGGTTTTCAAAGTAAGTCACTTCTATAGGAGCCCTGGTGGTATAGGGGTTACGTGTTTGGCTGTGATCTGCAAAGTCAGCTACTCAGGAGAAAGAAGGGGCTTTTCTATTCCCCTAAAGAGTCTCAGAAACTCACAGGGACAGTCCTACACTGTCCTGTATGGGTACTGTCCTGTATGGGTACCTAGGAGTCGGCATTGACTCAATGGCAGCGAGTTTGTTTTTAGGTTTTTTACAGCAATGATGGTGAGGATGGTGCCAGACTGGGCTGTTTCATTCGATTGTACACAGAATCACTAAGTGTCAATGCCGGCTCAACACCTAACAAAAACATGCTACGTCTCAGATTTGGTCATAAAAGACATGGCAGTTTCTACATTGGTCTCTTGTTCTCGTCTCTCTTGGGTCATCCATCCACTGAGCTGGAAGGCAGCTACCACAAAAAGAGCCATTGGCAAGAAACTGGGGCCTGCCCAACCACACAAGTGACCTGTCTTTCACACGAGCAGCCTGGAAGTGCATTTCCCAGCCACAATCGAAGCTCGAGGTGACTGTGGACTCAGACATCAGCTTGAGTGTAACCTCATCAGAAACCCTGAGCCACACAGCGCTGGCATAACCACGCCCAGATTACGGATGTCTAAAACAGGGATTCAGTGGGCGATGGGATTATGTGCCTTTTTTCCTTCTATATTTTACTTTTCTGTATTTAAAAAACCTAATACATATTATTTCTAAAGGTTAACTTCCATTGAGTAAGTATGACACAAACCAGTTTACTTACTTGGGACTCTTATCTGGTAGTGATTAAGGGCTGTCAGGGCTTCCACGGCATCCGTTTTACATTCCCATTCTAGTAGCCCAGAAAGTGTTTTGGCAGAAGCTGGAACAAAACAAAACCAAGAAACACAAGTTCGAGTTGTTCTTTGTTTTTATCCGCTAACTAGAAACTTACAAGAAAACGTCCACTTACGTTTTGCATCAAACACTTTATATTTGATGAAGGTAAGAACTTCATGGTCATTACACAACTGTCAGAGAAATGTAAAGATTCATGAATGACATGTCCAAAATAACAGCCCCACTTTTCAAAAAGAAAATAAATCTCATTGCAGAATTTAAGCTTTGAGTCTGGCATGAATGAATTAAATCAAGTATGTTTTTAGAGTAACATCAAGTTACCATATATACTCGAGTATAATCCAACCTGAATATAAGCTGAGGCACCTAATTTTACCACAAAACTGCATTAAAGATGTGCTGAAAAACTCGGCTTATACACAAGTATATATGGTATGTGAGAAAAATGAATGAAAAATAGTGAAATCCTATAAATGATATGTATTATTTCGTGCTGAATAAAAGCTCAGAAATTTACGTCTCAGAGTGGTGAAGATTTATCTAGTACTTAAGAAAGGCAGGAGGGTTCTTAAAAGCCAGTTCTTTGCTGAAGCGTTTTTCACAGTTCGTCAGTTATTCTTTAGTCACACCAATGTTTGTTATAAGGGAGATTTTAGGACACGATGAAAGGATTTTCTAAACACAGACGTGTAAGTATCTTGCTGCAATCTTTCATCTCAAAAGGACTGCACCAGAGACCAACAAAGGACCAATGAAGACAAGGTCCAAACAGTACCAATAACCGAATGCTAATAACGGCAAAGATGTCCAGGAAAGAACGATGGATACATGTACGAATATGTTGGATACAATTGATATATGGATGTAACAAGAGTTGTAAGAGCCCCCAATAAAATGATCTCCATAAATAAACCTTAACTATCATGATCTAAAAATAAATAAACCATAACTATCACAATCCAAAAACAATAATAATATCAAAAAATGACAACAAAAAGAGCAAACAGACTTTAAAACGTATTTCAAAACCGGAAACAGCAACATTCTACACACACTTGCAGCTCAGTCACCAGTGCCCACCTTTGTGAAGGTCTCCTCCGTGACACACAGCGGGACATTATAATAATGCAGGACACACGACGGTGGCTGGATTATATTCTTAGATGCTTGGCCAGCACTTGTAAAACGGTTATTTTTGCTCATTGCAAAATCTTTGTAGCTGCTTGTACCATCCTCCAGTTCAAATATTTGACTGGGAACAACTGAATGCTGTTTAGACACACTGGATTGGAAAGGAAACACATACAGATCATACCTTGTGTTAGATAAAAAGCAGCAAATAGTCTCAAAATGCTAATGTATTTTACCTGCATTAATCTACATAAATTGGAGTGGGGAGGGGCCTGACAATGCTATTTAAACACAATGTTTAGCATAAAATAAAATTCGTTCTTTTTATAATTTAGATCAACTATGAAGAAAATATATTATTCTATTAGAAAATTTTAATATAATACCCATTCCTTTTTAACATGCTGTTTTATGATCATTAAGCTAAAAACTAGGTATAAGTTGGCAATATCTGAACTATATCACCTTAATATTGTCCAAAAGAACAATACTACAGTTACTAGTTTCAAATGTGCTTAGTTACACTAAAATATTCTGAAGTCAAATTTAATGTCTCTAATAAGGATAAAGATTTAAATAATACAAAATATCTTTAAAATTTGTCACTGAAGAGAAATAATTACCAAACATTAAGTCTTTTCCCAAATAATTTGACGTTATTAAGGTGTGTGACAGCTCTTTCTACAGCATACTCATCACCCATTTCTACTAGAGCTGTACCTGGAATGGTCTTCATAAATTTTACCTGTAAACACAAAAATCCCCAAAAGGTGACCATTTACACAGTAGTATTTTACAATGAAAAAAAAATTTTTAATAGCATACTTTAAGCCGTGAAAGTAAAATATAAATCAGGTGGAATCTTACCCTTATTCTGCTGTCTGATAAGATACCCTTAACTCCTCTTAGAAAAGGAGACTGCATCCTAATGATTGTATGACACACCGAAGAATATCAGGCATTCTAATGATTGTACGACACACTGAAGGATGTCAAGCTGCTACTTACTGACTGTGCAATTTGGAATAAATTACTGAACTGTACAGTCGTGATTTTTGTTAAAGGTTTCTATGATTTTGAAGCAATACTTTTGACAAGTCCTCACATAAAATCCTGAAAGAATAAAATAGTCAAGAATCTTGTACCAGCAAAACTCTCTCTCCAATATGACGGTGTAACTAAGACATACCTAGACATAAAGAGAAACTAAGGGGACCTGTGGGAAATAGGCCAAGTTCACACAAAATACTAAAGGGAGCCTGAAGGACAGAAGACAGGAACCACACAACTGAGATTAAGACACATAGCAGCATCAGCCCAGACAGAAAAATTGCAACTTATATCTTTTACTAAAATAGTTACAAAACAGAAAACCACAGATTTCTATTTGTAAATAACAATGATTTTCCAAATCAAAAAGGAAAATAAACAGCATAGTCACAAAAATTCCATATGGAGAGGAAATCACCTTGACATCAAGGTGATGTCAATAAATAATAGGATGGGGGGAAAAAAGAAAAGAAATAACAGACTGTTTCAAATTAAGCAAGATAAAGATAAATCTCAGCCTAGCCATATACAAAATCAATAAACCTACCCCCCAAAATAAAAATCAAGAAAAGCTTAGACTCAGTAAGCACAAAGTCAACATTGTGGAAATGAAAAGAAAATTCTTAAACAAATAAAAGTCAATACAGGAAATTCAGCAAAGCAAAGGCAACCAATGCCACATACATAAAAGAGAAATATGTCACAAGATGACAATTCATACTTATCACACTGAATGTAAATGACTTAAGCACACCAGTGAAGAGACAGGGACAGAATGGATTTTAAAATAACATGACTAAATAATAATATGTCAAGAGAGTTACAAGAGTCACATCTTAAGACACAAAGATATAAATTGATTAAAAATCAAAGGTTGGAAAAAATACATCATACAAACAGCTAAAAAGGAATAGAAGTAATGCTAATCTCTGACAAAATTGACCTTAAGTTAAAATATCCATTGCAAGAGACATAAAAGATATTATATGATATATAAAGAAGACATAATGAACATTTACACACTCATCAACAGAGCTCCAGGTACACTAAAAAAAACTCTAAGCACATGGAAAAGGGAAATCAGAACATTCCACAATAACACCAGAAAACTTTAATACACTACTTTCGAGGAAGGACAGAACAACAAAATGGAAAATTCACAGATGCAGAAGATCCAAATAACACAATCAACCACCTTGATCCCTAGACATATATATAACCCTCCACCCGACAGCAACATAGTATACACTCTTCTCCCAACACCCAGGGGTCATTCTCCAGATCTCCCAGAATGGGCCACCAAGCAAGCTTCAATACATTCAAAACCACTGAAAGAGTACAGAGCATCGTCTCTGATCACAAGACTACAGGACTAGAAACTAGCAACAGAAAGAACAAGGAGAAAAATCAAATACATCGAAATGGAGCTACAACTTTGGTAAGAGAAGAAATTAAAAAATGAAAAATTAAAGTTCCTATAATCAAGATGAAATCACAACAAACCAAAACCTTTGGGACACAGCAAAAGTAGTGCTCATAGGGGAATTTGTAGCAATGAAATGCACACATTAAAATAAAGGCCAAAATCAAGAGCTTACTCTACAACTCAAACAAATAGAAAAAGAACAGCAAAAGATGTCGACAGTCATCAAAAGAAAGGAAAGAATAAAGATTAGAGAATAAATAAATAAACAACAGAATCAATAAGACTAGACGTTGATCCTTTATGAGAATCAATAAAACTGACAAACCACTGGCCAATATAATAACAGAATGAGAAAATACAGATAACCAAGATAAAAAACATGATAAGTAATGTTACAACACAGCCAATTTGAGATAAAAAGGATCCTAACAGAAAGCTATGAAAAACCAACCCCAACAAATTTGTAAACCTAAAAGAAATGGGCAAATTTCTAGAAACACACTATTAAGGTAAAAACTTGGATAGACAATGTGAACAGACTCCAACAAAAGAAATCGCCAAAGAGGTCACTGAAAACGCTTCCAACCACAAAAAACCCTAGCCCAGACAGCTTCCCTGGAAAGCACCCATCCAGAGATGAGCTGACCCAATTCCACTCAAACTATTGCAGAACACGTAAAGGGGGCAAGAACACCCCCTAATTCATTCTCTATAGTCAGCATTAACTCTGATGTCATAGCTGGGAAAAGTTATCACTCAAAAAGAAAATTATCGACAAATAGCCCTCATGAATAAAAACCACTGCCACTGAGTCAATTCAGGCTCCTAGTTTTCTGTAGGACAGAGTGCAACTGCTCCTTCAGGTTTCTGAGGCTGTAATTCGGTGGCTCTCAACCCCCTTTGGAGGGGGGGTCGAATGACCCTTTCACAGGGTCGCCTAAGACCATCGGAAAACACATATTTCCGATGGTCTGAGGAACCGAGACACCACTCCTCTATCCGTCTGCAGGTGCATCCACCCACATGCAGATACACCCACATATGAGTACCCAGTGTGAAGACTGTTACCCATGCTACACCACGGCAAGACAACATTTCATTGATTTGTCATTAGAAACAAACATTTCACAATATGTAATTACATTTAATTTTTGTGATTAATCACTATGCTTTAATTCTGTTCAATTTGTAACAATGAAAATACATCCTGCCTATCAGACATTTACATGATGATTCATAACAGTAGCAAAATTACAGTTATGAAGTAGCAAAGAAAATATAATTTCTGGTTGGGGGTCCCCACCACATGAGGCACTGTATGAAAGAGTCGCAGCGGTTGAGAACCACTGCTGTAAATCTTCAACGCTGCAAGACGGCGCAGCTTTCTTTCATGGAGTGGGAAATGGATCTGAACTGCTGACCTGGTAAAACCCACTATACCACCAAGGCACAAAGAAATTAGCAACAAAATTCTAAAAACAGTCACTCAAAATATAATAATTCATCATGATCAAGTGGGATTCATACTAGGAAGCAACAAAAATGGCTCAACATTGGAAACCCAATCAATACACCACATTAATAAAACAAAGAATCACATGATCATCTCAATAGATGCTGTAAAGGCATTTGACAAAATCCAACACCTTTTCTGATAAAAAAAAAAAAACTCTCAGCAAAATAGGGCTAGAAGGGGAACTCTTCAACATACTTAGACCATACACACAAAACCAACAACCAACATTATTCTCAGAATGGAAACGCCACAAAGATGCTCTACAAGCACCTTTATTTCCAATATTGTGCCCTAAGTCCCAGCGAGAGCCACAGGCAAGAGAGGGAAGTAAAGGGTATCCACATTAGTAAAGAGGCAAACTACCGTCTACTTGCAGATGATATGATATTATATACAGAAAATATTAGAAAATATTAGAAACTCTACAAGAAAGTTATCGGAACTAATAGAAGCTTCAGCAAAGTGGCGGGTATAAGATCAACTTAGAAACATTAGTTTAATTCCTCAACATGTGAAGGAAATCAGGAAGACAATACCATTTACAATATCCGCCCCAAAAGGACAAAATATCTATGATCAAATATAACTAGGGACATAAAAGATGTACACAGAAAAAATAATAAAACACTAATAATAAAAAACCACTAAGACCTACATAAAAGAAGGAAAAAACATACCATGCATCTGGATAGAAGACTAGACACTGTGAAAATATTTACACTACCCAAATCAATCTATAGATATGTTATCCCAACCCAGATTCTAACAACATTCTTTAACAAAATGGAAAAAAAATTGTCAACCTTGTGAATGACAGCCCAACACATAACCAACCATTACGACACCAGGGCTCTTGTGGCAATAATGGCACTGACAAAAACAAACCAAAGGGGAGGGGAAAAAACAACAGAAAATTACAAACGCTAACAAAGTTGTGAAGAGATTAGAACTCTTAGACACTACTCACTGGACTGTGAAATGGTACAGTCTATAGAAATTGACATAGCACTTCATCAAAAAGCTAGAAATAGGAAAACCTTATGATCCCACAATCCCACTCCTAAGTACATATCCTCCAGAAATAGGGGCTGTGACACGAATACATACACATATATAAACTCATGTCCACTGCAGCATTACTCACATAGCAAAAAAATAAAAACAAATCTAAGAACCTATCAATGAATAATGGGATAAACAAATTATGGTACAGACATGCAAAAAAGCAACTACAGTCTGAGACCACCATGATAAAAGGTCAAGACAAAGTTTACATGCAGAAAGAAAGATTTTTTGATGGACCCTACTTATGGGAGGAGTAGGAAGGGAGAATCACTAACCAGATAGTAGATATCTGATCATTCTGGTGAATGAAAAGGTCATTTACATTATGGGAGAAATCAGCAAAATGTAAACAGGCAAAGGCAGACCTTGAGAGGCGCATCAAGAACCGAGAACAGCTACCGTGGCGCTAACAATCGGGTGAGCAGCGGGCTGCTGACATCTAGAGATCAGCAGTTCAAACCTATCAGTTGCTCCACAGGGCAGAGATGCAGCTATCTGTTCCCATAAAGATGAACAACCTCAGAAACCCTGTCTAGGGTCACTGTGAGGAGCCATTAATTTGATAGCAGCGGTTTTTTGAGGTATGTTAAATACTAGAATATGTAACAATCCTGCAATAACAGTAATAACAAATAAGACTCTTGTGAGTGGATGCATAAGTAGATATGTACGCTAACCAGGTGTGGGAGGTCATACGGGATTCCATTGAGGTGCATTTCAAGAGGACTTCAAAAGGTGTATGGATAAATAGAGTTAAAAGACAACAGAATTTTTTTCACAAACCCTTTGAAGGCCCCTCATTTAGGCATGGTGGTAGATTTTTCTGCATACATATTTATAAGTGCTGCTTATATACAGGTGCATATAAAATATAGCACATAGGAAACAGCACTATGAAAATTCCTTAAACATAACCAAATGTCTCATCGGTGAGCTACTGAGCTTGAAGACCAAGGGCGATATAGCAATTGGTTCAACGAAGTACCTAAAGCCAAAAGTTCTACATCCTAACCTGGGGTCTGCCAGCTTTCGAGTGGCATTCAAGATAGAACTATTAAACTTTTTCTGACCTAGAGCAACAGAGAATGAAGAAAACCAAAAACTGACAAGCCAGTCAGGTTGCAGTATAGCACCGGTGAAACATACAACTTTCCTCTAGTTCTTTAATTCCTACCCCCCTCCTCTATCATGATCCCAATTCTACTTACAAATCCAGCTAGACCAGAGCATATACACTGGTACCGATAAGAGTTGGCAACACTGGGAATCCAGAGCAGATAAACTCCTCTGGAGCAATAATGAGAAGAGATACCAGGACGGTAAGGGGAAGGTGGGGAGAGAACGTGGGAACTGATCACAATGATCAACATATAACAGAAAAAGTGGGTGAAGGGAGACAGCAGTTGGTGTAAGACATGGGGGAAAATTTTAAAAAAATAAATTATCAAGGGTTCATAAGGAAAGGAGGGTAGGGGCGGGAGGTGGTAATGAGGAGTTGATATCAAGGGCTCAAGCAGAAAGAAAAGGTTTTGAAAATGATGATCGAAACATATGTACAAATGTGCTTGACGCAATGGATGTAGTGTGGACTGTGATAAGAGCTGTAAGGAAAAAATAAATAAATTAAATTAAAAAGAAAAAAAAAAAGAGCTGTAAGGACCCCCACGAAAATGATTTATAAAAAAAAGAAAAGAAAACCGAAAATGAAGGGCCTGCATGATGGATCCACAACTCCTTTAGTCCAAAATCAGAACAGGATGGTGGCCCTAACCAGGGAACACAATCAAAGAAAGGGATAAAAAGATAGAAGAAACAACAAATCCCACTTTAAAAAAGACATTTACTAGTCTGACAAAGACGGGATGAACCCTAAATTATTGCCCTTTGTACAGTACCCTTCTAACCTCAAACTGAAGCCACTCGTGGAGACCATCAAGAGACATCTCTAAAATAAACAACACCCATAAGGAATGTGATCCTTGACAGCAACCAACTCTCCAAAGCCAAAAAGCAACATTTTCCCCAAAGCAAAGATGAGCAGGTAGAAAGGGGCGGGTAAAGTGGATGCATGGAACCCAGCTGGAGCCCAGAAGAACACCGACACACTACAGAGATGGCAACCCAGGTCACAGCGAAACTAAGAGACTGTGGCAACTTAAAGCACAAGAAAACCTACCAACATGCAATGTTAAAGGACTGTATCTTGAATACTGACAACCATCGCCATGAAGAGGAGTTACAAAGAGAAGACACGTGTTTGCACCCTTCATAACATTTACTATGAGCTGTCCTAGCAAAAGAAAGTAATACAGAAAATGAGACTTACCTTTTCAATATTCCCATACAAGCAGAATAGGTTGAAGACTCTTGAACAATTCATTTTCAGTTGATGTAATCCACTAACCATCACAACTGAACCGGAGGGATTCCCTCCGTGCATGTAAGAGGAAGAAGCCTGTGGTAATGGGTATGCAACAAGCTCAGGTGTGTCTCGAGAGCCCATTCGGTAACGACTTGGTAAAGGCAACAGTGGGCCGTGGGATCCTAAGAAAATGATAAAAAAAAAAAAAAAAAAAAA